ATTACATATATCACCGAATTGCGTTGGGCGGCCAGTGTATACGGCCTATATATAGGTCTCCTTCTCATATTAAGTATGTCGCATCATCGACTGAGTTTCGCTATCTCTGTAGTCAGACGTACACGGACTTCACCGTGATCGATTCAAGAGCATTTGCTTCGACTACGTAATTATATGTCCATAACACTGGTGTTTAACAATATCGGCCTCTGACCCGACATACCTAGGCTTGATCTTCAGTCAATTTCATCGGAAGTATCACAGATACTGTGGCCCAGACGTGCAGTGATTCGATTGCACTACGACCTTCTCAACCTGGTAGACGTAGTGTTGTTGTCATCAGCTCCATTGTGCCATCGACATCGAAAGACGACTACACCCTTCCTGCGAGCTGTCTGCTATAAACTTCGGCTTCCACCGTACTTGTCACAATAGTAGCGTCTCACGCTAAAGCTATCATGCTCTGTTAATCTCTGTTAATAGAACCAAGACTCGAATCCCCTCCGGCCTCACTAGATCAATTCGTATACCATCTGCATCCCCTCTACCACGCCTCGTTCAATCGCAGCACGTCGTGCTAGCGGTAAAGTATCTATACGGCCAGTACTCGGATCAATTAGGCCTCCAATATGTATCATGAGGTCTATTACTCGGGCTTTACCATGTCCCTCACTGTAGTAGTAGTCCAGATAGGAGTTGTACTCTTGCCCCAGACTTTGCGATCACACCATGCTAGCGATATGGTATTTATACGGCCAGTACTCGGATCATTTAGGCCTCCAATATGTATCACGAGGTCTAATGCTCGGGCTTTACCATGTCCCTCACTGGAGTAGCAGTCCAGGTAGGAGCTGTACTCTTGCCCCAGACTTTGCGATCACACCGGGCTAACGATATGTTATTTCTACGGCCAGCACTCGGATCAATTAGGCCTCCCATACGCAGTATAAGGTCAAATGATTGCCTTAAACATGCCCTTTGCTGTAGTAGTAGTCCAGATAGGAGCTGTACCATCGCCCCTGCTTTAGCAACGCTTGGGTGGCGTGCGAGGTTTGCGTGCAGTATTACGGTTCAGAGTTTATTAGAACCCTAAACCCTACAACGTTCAAGCACAGCACTGAGCGTAGGAAGCGTACCTTCGCTACCACCCGTGCTCGACGTATCTTAACTTCTCAAGAAAGTGGACAAGTCCAGGGGTGGGCTTTGCGACACCGCTTGATACCAATCAAAGCTCGTACACAGCATCACACCCCATCGTCTGATCGCCTCGACTGGGGAATCCACCGGGGCTGGGACTTGCATATAAGGAAAACAGGCTCGTCAGTAAACGTTCACTTAAGCGGTCACTCGATATTCTTTAACTTCAACAGTTCCCGTCGGAGATGTGCAATCTCCACAGCCTGCGCCTGGATAGTTTCGGCCTGCGCCTCGATCTGGCGGTCGCGTTTGAGCATGTCGTCGTTCGACACCATCGAAATCTAAGCATAGGAAGATAGGGAAGAGAAGAGATCAGCCTGCCGATTGAGGACTGAATGCAATGGTTTGCTCTACATGGTGGCCAGCAGAGGCCAAATAGAGTGTAGTCTTACTGACAGAATCAATGTGTACGCATAGCAGCACAAAGATCAAGGACGAAATGATACTATTGGCCCTCATGGTGGCTAGTAGGACAATTAAAGAGGAATCATACAACGGCGTTGTGCGGGACTGCTCTGGTCCGCTGTTTGCTGAGTGCATAGACTGGCAATACTCTGATCATAGGCTTAGTGTCAAGTCTGTCAGAAACGAAGAAATGTGATACGGCACACTCAAATACGCCAAAGGTTGGTGTCAGCTTGAGATTCGTATGTCTATGACAGAAACCCCATTCTCTCTGAAGGGAGGGGAGGGGTGACGGGTGCCAAATGAGCACACGTTTTCGTAGGCTTTGAGTACTATCTCTACAGTAACTATATTTACTAACTCTAGATGGGTCTCCAAACACCAACGGTATGGGAAATGAACTCTAGTTTGACGAGAGGAATGCGTACTGGTAGGACAATGCGAGACTAAATCGCGTCACCCCCTGGGAACATGCAGGTCATTTGTAGAAGTCAATGTAGCATGCTGACAATACAATAGCGCCCGTTAGCAGTACAAATCAACACACTAAAACAGGTGGAATTCAAGGACATACTGAAAGGTCTATTTCCGCACGCTAATAGTACACATCCAGCATACCAAAGCAACCCCTGGTGTAATAACAATCAATAACAGAAGGCATGGCAGCACACTGGCCACACAATACTACACTCTAAAAGTTCAGTTCAGGCACATTATTAATACAGTTCGAGCACAATATTAGCAAGGTTTCAAAACATACTGCATCTCCCTCTGAGAACACATCAGTCATCTGCAGCAAAGTGGTAGCTGTGGGACGGTCCGCTGGCGATTTGGCCGTCATCAAGGCAATGAGAATAGCCTACAAGCGTAATACCACAAGGAGATTAGGATCACATGCAATCGTGAGACAACAAGAGAGTATTGACCAAGTGCCAAGAAAGTAGCCCACGAGGGTAGTATAGTGGGTTCTATATATACTTA